CCCCCCTCGACCACCCACCCCCGCCCTGTGCACACACACGCGCGCAAAGCATGTGCCCGACAAAACAGCAAGAGAGCAAATCACACCATAATTTACAATCTTGCTGTGCTAAAATCTCATTATGTCACAGACATATGGATATGGCGGCTTCTCAGAAGCAAGAGCTATAAATTCCACCTGTCGTAAATTATTAAAAACAAAGACAGGCGTGACCGTTGGCTGTCCAAATTAGCTGTAAATCACAACTCAAACATGGTTTGTTGAACAAATTAAGGCCCGCGTGGTGAAACGTGCCTTGAGTGGGTTCGGTCAGACGCTTGGTCACGTCGCACTTGAAAATAGCCTTACTGGACCAACAGCGGTTCTTCTGAGAGGACAGCCCCCGTTTGACAATGGAAGAGGTGACATTTCTTTTAGGGGTGTACATTCCCTGGTTCACTTTCAATTCAACATCGGTAAGGTGAGCGGTCGACATAGAGGACGCACTCGCTGGAGTCCCTGCAGGAGATTGGCGCGTGCAAAGTACATTTAATAAAAACTGCAAGATCTTCACTTGCGGATGAATGATTTAACGTTGGAGGCCGCCTTTCATCCTTTGAATGTACGTCTGTGAGGGGACCCCCCCACCCCCCACCCGTAACTACAATGTGGCCCTTGACAAAAACGGGTTTGGCACCCCTGCACTAAAGGTTAGTGAGATCAGGCTAGCAGTGATTATTTTGATCAAGGTGGAATTCTGAGAAGAAGAAAAAAAATCAGAGCTGTCTCTCTGTCAGTGCCCTTTTTCGAACTTGCGTGCATCTGAAACAGTTTTGGCTCTCGACTTGGGGAGAGCAGCGGGGCAGATGCCTCAGCGGCGAAACAGGTGCTATCAAAGTGCTTCCTCGTCAATACACACAGCAGCAGAATTTGAAAACATCAGGGGGTTGGATTTAAGGGTGGCATTAGACTTTGAATAGAGAGGGATCGAATACATGGATGGTCCTCTTCCTCAGTCAGCCCATTGACTCCAAACTGAGCCTATTAGCAAGACAACACATCACTAATGGCACTGCTACTGCCGCTGCTGCCCCTCATGTGTATGGAGACCACCCAGCGCACGCAAACACACACACACACACACACACACACACACACACACACACACACACACCCTCTTCACTTTTCCCACGCCATTGTTACCTAAACATGAGTATGTTATTGTGTGAAACTCGATCAAAGTGCAGGGGGTGGGGGTGGGGGGGGGGCAATTCAAACACTCTAAACGAGTTCTCGTTGTATGACGCACGTTAACGTGACTAATGTGCACGTCATCGCCTCAACGAGATATCGTATCGCAGTCGTTGATGTTTTAAACGAACAAAGTTTGACATCACTGCAAGGTGATCAAATGTTGAATGCTCATTAAATCGAAGCATTTTTAAAAAAAAATCCGAATAAGTTCAAAAACACATAAAATAATTTGTCTTGCCCAGTTTAAGCCATAAGATATAGTGTCACGGTGGAAAAATATGAGGGGGAAAAACAAGATAAAGCCATGAGGATTTTGCACGCAGAACTCCCACTGCGTCCGCGTTTTCCAACCATGACAACTTTTTACCCACGCGTCGCTTTCCTCAGCACCTCATGTCATGTTTATTTCGAAGCGTGTCAACGACTAACAAGGAAATCTCCAGATTTTTGCATTGCTTTTCACTTCCACGTGTGGCCAGCAGGGGGTGTAGTGCAGAGAAAACACCCTCATCCAGTTGGTTCGGCCTAATTATCAAATGACAGTACTTTTATGCCCCCTTCGGTAACATCCTCCACACACAATACAGTAAAGACATTTATTATTTTGCTTTTGTTCCAACATCAGGCGAGCCATAAAGAACTTTAACACGAGGACGGTCAAAAAGTAATCAGCCTTTTTGGGATTTGATAAAAATCAAATGATTCTGCTTTCCCTGACTCTGCGTGACCCGAATGGCCACTAATGACCACCAAGTCCAGTCGACTTCCTCAAACGGGCACTTTTTAAGTGTCTGATCGTCCGCCTCTTGAGGTGGGTGGACTTCATCGGCTTTATGGCAAGCTGTCTGTCGGACAGGAGAGGGAGAGGGAGAGAGAGAGAGAGAGAGAGAGAGGGAGAGCAAGGAGGGGGATAATTCATTCACTTTCCTCACAAAGCTGTTGGAAACCGCCCAGGGGACCGAAACACCAGATAGAGGAGCAGAGGTGGTCTGCCTTTGTATCAAGGTGCCATCAGGCGAGCCATAAAGAACTTTAACACGAGGACGGTCAAAAAGTAATCAGCCTTTTTGGGATTTGATAAAAATCAAATGATTCTGCTTTCCCTGACTCTGCGTGACCCGAATGGCCACTAATGACCACCAAGTCCAGTCGACTTCCTCAAACGGGCACTTTTTAAGTGTCTGATCGTCCGCCTCTTGAGGTGGGTGGACTTCATCGGCTTTATGGCAAGCTGTCTGTCGGACAGGAGAGGGAGAGGGAGAGAGAGAGAGAGAGAGAGGGAGAGCAAGGAGGGGGATAATTCATTCACTTTCCTCACAAAGCTGTTGGAAACCGCCCAGGGGACCGAAACACCAGATAGAGGAGCAGAGGTGGTCTGCCTTTGTATCAAGGTGCCATACATGCAGATAACCCGCCATTCTCCGAAAAGAAATGGTCAAAATTGAGATTTGGGAATTGGGAATATCACAATCTGGATCAGAGTCCGACTGTGAGATTTGACATTTTGACCCTCGACAATTTTGTGCGTTACCACTTCATAATATGGACACCATACGAATACAATCAGGCTATCATGGCAGTAGCTCGTGATAACTGAAGCACAGAGATGTGGTCAAATAAAAAAAGTGTTTCATTTTCCCGGCAACATTGGTTGGAAAGAGTTCAAGGGGGAGGCTTATTAAGAACCGTCGTTCGGTTTGCACGCGCTCATGCTCAGGGCTGCATTTCAATCGGTTTCTTTGCTTTCTTGTCATTATTTAGTGGAGCAGGGGTGCAGGTCCGTTTGGAAGCGCCCGGATGTCAGCTTGCGGGTGCTGGAGTCCCCAAAAAACCCCAAAAGAGCACCGAGCTTGCCCTGAAATGACCAAGTGTGAAAGGAAAGAGGGGGCAGGCAGGTTGTTTTTGTTTTTTTTTAACTTGTGCGTGCTTGTGTGCGTTTGTTCTTGCCCTTGCGTCAGAGAGCGAGCCGAGCACTGAGCGGCAGCACTGCGCCTCGTGCGCGCTCTTGCACCCCGGACACCACCCTCCCTCCTCCTCTCCGTACACCCCCACTCACACGTTTAGCTGTTGAGAGCCCACCGGCACCACCCCACCTCCTTTCCCTGCCCGCCACCGCGTCTTGCGCTCCCTCCGCGGCTCCCACTCGCCTTTCCGTTGCGCGTTTCAGCTGAGGGGGCTGCACGCACGTCGCGCCACTGATAGCCACTTTACACTCAGCGTGGAAAGTCAGCCTCTCTCTCTAAACTCTCTCTCGTTCCCCTCCACCCCCCACCCCCCTTTCTCTCTCTCACACGCACACACACACACTCGCGCTCTCTATTACGCGCATACATTGTCCTCCTTGGGCAAGCTAACGGGGAGGTGTTAACTACTTTGACTTGTGGTTATCCTCGGTGCTGCGGCGTGCGGGTCACCGCCACTGTCATTGGGCGAAAAGTTTTGGGTTTGTTGTGGGGATAAAAAAAAAAAGGAGCCGGAAACCGAGGAGGGTTCCACAGAAGTAGTGGATTCTCCCATGAAGAGGTGAGTCACACTTTTTTCTGCACCTATTTTCCGAGTTTGAAGCTGAGAAAGTGTTTGTGGAGTTTCTTCTTGTTTTGAGTGGAATTGTCGGTCGTTTTTTTTGTTGGGGGGGGTGGGCGAAGCTGTGCGTTTTAATCTCTTGGGGCTAAAAGTGGAGAAAGTCACGCCAAGTGACTCCGAGTGTCCCTTTGGACTCAAGGCTTTCTGCGTGTGCGTTCACGTCCGATTATATCGCGGAAGGTGTGTGGTGCGCGCGCGAGCGTTTGTTTGTTTATATTGTGTGTGCGCGCGCGTGCGTGAAACGCACTTGTCAGGTTCCCAAACAAGAACGTGTCCTCCTAAAAACACTTGATGAGGAGAGTATGATACGCGCGTGCGTGCGTGCGTGTGTGTGTGTGTGTGTGTGTGTGTGTGTGTGTGTGTGTGTGTGTGTGTGTGTGTGTGTGTGTTGTGTGTGCACGCGCGAGTATATTAGTATATTGTCACCGCGCCTCACTAATACCCATGACATTTACACAAAGGTTATAATTTGATAAACGGCAATAATTACAATGCGTTTTGGGAGAAATATAAGATATGGCAATTGTTTGTGCCAGCAATCGTTATTTTAGGACAAAATATCAAATAATTGAATCATCCATTTTGGGTTTTTTTTTTTAACAAAAATGAAAAAGTTCGACTCTCCTTTACTGTTTAATATTTACTTTGTATCCGCAGCAGGGATTCTCTATCTCACTATGCTGTCACATTTTTTTTTTTTTTTTTAGAAATTACAAATGGGTACGCTGCGCATTAAACTGTTTTTAATGGAGACATATGGCGCCAACGTGCAGCATGCTCTGTTCTTAATCAAGAACATTACTTTGGACCACAAAAATGCAGTGACGTTGGACTACTGATTTCGTTCAACGTCGGAAAATCTCTTCAACGCAAAATCACTCAAATAAAACGTTGACCAAGAAAAAAATAAAACGCAAAAGAAAAAGCTTTTTCTTTTTCTGCTCCGTGCCGAACACAAATGCATGAAATTAACGAGAAAGCTCCCAATCATGCGCGTGCACGTGCCCATCTCACGCGCACACTCACAAAGGCCTCGCGAAGGGAAAAACACCTGTTCACTGGGAGCCGCTCGAATTGTCACCCCCTCCCTGGAAACGAGCAGCCACCGGCCGGAGGAAGTCTGGCGGGTCTTCCGGATTCGTGGCCGGCCGCCGCGAGCCAAAGCCGGCATCCCTCAAGACCGACTCCAGGTTTTGTTTTGTTTTGTTTTTTACTGGATCCACATTTGACCGGGCGAGATTTTAAAAGCGCGTCTCACGGATGATTAATTTCCTTGACTTTTAGTAAGATTTACGACTTTTTTTGGGGTTGGGGTGGGGGGTCGTTGAAAATCACATCGACCGTCTTATAGAACTTTAAAACATCCCGTTGCTTTCTCTCGTTTTACATGAGAAAAGAAAATAGAAGTTAAAGTCCCACGTAACAAAAAGAACAACGGCAAGTGACCGACTTGATTTCCGACATGAAGAGAAAATGTGAATTTTCCATCGGCAATTTCCAAGATAGGAAAATACTCAAAAGCTTCGTTACTTGTCATGTTTGTTCTTCAACCGCAACATGTTTGGACAACGAGCAAGCGTCGACTTAGTCGGAACGGGGCACACACACCACCGCAGTTTGCCATGACAAAAAAAAAAAGGGGGGGGGGTCGAGGATAAGAAAGACCACATATTTAAATTCTGCATCGGAATCTATAAAGTCCCCAATAGAGAAATACAGGAGATGCGCTGAAAACGCTATTGGACGCAAAACAAATTCGACGGCGTGAGTTTTTGGGTTAAAAAAAAAAACCAAACGAAAAAAGAGAAACTGGCTTCGCATCAAGTGATCATTGCCTTGATTTCAGTGATGGATGACTTGAAATTGATTTATTGATTGCCGGATCAACCAACCCCGTCTTCTAACGACCACGCGAGCCCTGTTTAATTTCCAACTAAATGCACGAGCAGGGGACGACGCTCATCTTTTGAATGTGTGCTCACAAGTCTGCCGGTTGGCATTCCGCCTTCCGTTGCGTTGACCGCACCGGGAGCGGCTTGCGGAAAAGTCGAATGTATTTTTTTCTCATTCAATCAAGCTCGTCTCCACTCGAGAACGAAACTGCCTTTTCATTCATTTGATGTGAGGATAATAGCAAATCATTTCCGATATCTCCAAAGATGAGTTCAAACAAATCCATCGGAATGTCATTTATTTAATATATGTTTCCAATTATGCGCTTGATAAAATCTGCATGAATCGATATATATAGATAATAACTGTAAATGGTTACTTTAATGCATATGAATCATAATGGAAAAATACGCGAGGATGATTTAAGCGGTTTGATTAAAACAATTGACTACAAGTCAGTTAAATATAATTAAAGAAGTCTTTTTTTTCCCCACATTGGCTGTTATTAGTGTATATTTATGTTTTGTTCTGCGCAGCGCATCAGGTTATTATTTCCCCATTTACGTTTCCAACCTCGGCGATTTACAAAACTACGCCTTCCTTTCAGAGCTGCAGTTTTTGCGAGCCCCTATTGAAGGAGCCTTCTGCAAAGATTTTTGGACACGGGTAGGATTTAATCTTAAACGAAGACTGAGTACACAAAATAACGCATCAACATACCGAATATCTGGAGAAATCTATTTTTTTTCAAACACACCGTTAGTAATGATTAAGATTGCCATTTTAAAAAAAAGTATCTTCGAGGTGCGCTTTGATAATTTAATCGATTTAGCCCCCCCATAATGATGTGGGCCCGTTTCTCTTTTTTTTTTTCATTCGCACGGGAATTAAAAGAAGAGTCCAATCGCAGGGAAAAAAAAAACAGTAAATGATGATTTACAGAATTTTCGAAGTCCGTTTTTATTGCCTTGCCATTGATCTCGGGGGCTCCGCGCTCTGTGCAGCGACAAGTGAACTAAAATTAATGTCCGATTCACACCTCTATGCGCCGGGTCGACGGCTGCTGAGTGAGAAGTTTATTTCAATTGGAATCCCAGGACACGCAACGTCTATTGTGATTGTGTGTGTGTGTGTGTGTGTGTGGGGGGGGGGGGCTGTTGTTGGCGTAAATCCCCCAAATTTGAGTATCACTCAAGTGCGTATCACGAACCACTTAAATACTCACCATCTGAAGACTGTTTCCGTATAATAAGAACAATTGTAATAATTACTATTCTTATGATTTCACTCATAAACGTTCTGAGTTCATATACTGGTCTTGTCAGTTGTTGCACAAAGTGGAGAATTTAAAAAATCCAAAAACGTTTAGGCGTCCGCGTGCCGTCCACATTCATTTTTCTGCTCCAAAAAGATTTTTTTTTTAAAGTAATTAATGAATCCACAATTATTTTTCAATATGCTCATATTTGGAAATATATAAATGCATGGTTGCGCGAGTTAACCCATCATGACACGGACAGTAAATGAAGAGGAGATTGCTCACTCGACTTGTTTGATGACACCCCCTCCCCCCTCCCCCAGTCTATTAATTCTTATCAATATGCACTAATTCCTCACTCTTTATGACACGCATCTCCTTTTCGCCCCCCCTCCCCCTCCTCCCTCTCTCAGGTGTACCTCCAATGATTGTGTTGCTCTAATGAACGCAGAGCGCGCCAGCTAATTTGACAAGCGGACTGTAATTGAAATCACGGCTCGCGCGGCTAAATCGCTGTCGGGAACACACAATCATCGGGGACACCCGAAAACTTTGCGTTGCGGCTGTCTCGATCACTGTCATGAAGCCCGACGCCTTCATTTCATGGTGGCTCTTGCAAGCTGTCTCCACTCCACTATTTGTCATTTCCCACCCGAGCAAATTGCAGCCCGTGTTTCATCTTCAAATTGCCTTTTTTTTTTTTTTTTGGACACGTTATTGGTTGTCCAACACGGAATATAAACACAAATTAAAAACATCCCTTTGCAAAATATTTCAAGGTATTCTGCCAACCACGACTGTTGTTCTGAACTAATGTATCAGAAGTAAAAACAAGTGGTTGAGCGTTCATGTGTTAGGGAGGGGCCAGCCAGCCAGCCAGCCTGCTCTGCACCTCCCACCTTCTCAGCCACCTGTAGCTCATCAGCCCATTTGGGCTCCCAAATCAGTCCTCCCTGCGAGTTCGTGTTGTAAGCACCCTGCATCAAGCCCCGCTAGGCACATCGTGCAGTTTTTCCATTCCTCTGTGGACATTTCCTCTCCCCGTGGACTCTTTGTGCTCTCGCTTGAATGCTAAGTAGGTTTTCAGTTTGAATTCTCCTGATTTGACTTTTGCAAGACCAACAAACTACGCCAAGTTTCGGCTTAACGCCATCCTTGTCTGTTGTCGTGCGTTTGGGGTGACATCCAAACCCGAACAAAATAGAGTGGGGAAAACCGCTGCATGTTGATTGTAAATCAAATGATGACCTATATTGACAACAAGAAAGGGGGCGGAGCGTTGGTGCTGGAAGTAGACCACTCCGTGGCGGTGATGCGCACTTTGTCGAACGGTTTGATTGCGTCGGAGACGGCAGCGACGACTAATGCAGTCGTCGGGGCTCGAATAGGGGCAAGATCACCGGCAACAAGAGAAAGTCAGCCAAGCAGCCTAATGAGGGGGAAGGAGTTGTGTCGGATGTCCGATACTTTCTGTATCGTTGGGTGTCTCTTTCTCTCACTTTGCAGCCTCCTCCTCCCCTCTCACACGCAAACATCATCTCTCTCTCTCAGGTTTCTCCGTTCATTTGTCAATTACTCTTTGCGCGTGCATACGCGCACACACACACGCGGCGGCATCCACGCGCACGCTTCTGGAGAGCACATGCAATCATCGATCGGAAGCAGTCGGAATCTGTGTAGATGACTTATCATTTTTCTCCGGACGCCAGCTGGGCGTCCAGACACGCGATGATGATACTCGCGAGGCCGACCCTACCGCCGGCGCTCAAAGGCCTCACCGCTTGCGCTGGTTTCACTGATCTCGCCGTAGCCACATGAGACACGCGGCCGCCTTGCGATAACTTTGATTCTCATGATCGAGCACCCTCCCCGATCAGATTCCTGTCTCCTTCTGAACTTTGACCTGCACGTAGAAGAGGTCTCAGAACCAGCACGCTTTTTAAAAATTTTTTTTTTTTGGTTGCAGTCGTCCTCTTAACTCAGCAATTGAGAGGGGGATGCGTGAGCGTTTTTGCTCTTGCTCGACTTCATCATCCAGGATGCCGCCCGTTGTTCAAAGGAGACGCTCGGCCTCCCGTCTGCCGGCCGGCCGCCGAGTTTAGTGAGCGCCGCGGTGCGCGCCGACGCAACGCGGCGATAAAAAGTCACCGCGGGGCGACACAATGCCACGCACGCACGCACTCACTCAGCGGCGCTGGTGAAGGGCAGACGGCGAGCTTGGCCTGTCAGTCAGCAAAGACGCCGGTGTCATCTGTCAGCTTGTCCGGGGGTCGGTTGCAGCGGGAGACTTGTCGCTTGGAGGCCAGACTGATTTTGCCGTACGGTGACCAGGCGAAATGATTTATTTGTCACCGAACGCTTTGTGATTCCTGTCCTGTGAACTGGGTATGAATGGAAATCGTTGCCCCGGGGGACCAGGCCGTGACACCGCGTCTCCAAATATCCCCAGAGTCTTTGGTCTTTAAATCCTATTTTCTTACCGCGGCTTGCTTCCACGCTATAAAGTCTATCGCATCGGTGGAAGGCAGAAAGAATGAATTTTGCACCCGCTGAAGTCATCTTCTCTGCCTTCAGCTTTTAGGTGTGGCACGAGCAGCGCAGCATGTTAGCCCGCTCAAATCGGTATTGATTTCGGGAGCGGAATGTCATTATCCGGCTCACGCGATTATATTGCATGTTCCCTGAACAAATCTGACTGGAATCTGACTTTCAGTGCTTGCGCATATGTCTTTGGCTAACTGCGGCGACTGCTGACTGAAGGTTCCGATGATGAGGGGGAGCGAAAAAGAGGTCTGACAAAATGAAATCCAAGACGGATGCCGCAGGAACACAATTTAGGTTATTAAGAGATAAGAAGAGATCAGAATGAGTAAGAAAATGAGGATTTGTCAAGCAAGTCATTGTGGGGCAATTGATAGCCACCTCCTGCGGATGCAGTCGAACCTCTTTTCAACGTCGCCGTCAGCACTCCGATAACGTTCACATTTTCAAAGTTTGACGTCATTCGTTTTCCATTTCCCTATTTTTGCGAACAACGAACACCTTGACAACGTCAAGATCATTATAAGGACCAGATTTTTCCTACAAAATCGGTGAAAAGGCCTTCGGTGTAACCGTCGCGACCTTGCTTATGAACAAAACGTACAGCGCGGGATTCCCCTTCCGTTGCTTAGCAACGCTCCCGATCGACTCGGTGCATTGTTGTACTTCCGGAGGCGCTGCGCACAGGGTCTCAGAAACACGTCTGGCAAACGGAAGCCAATCTCGCTGTCTGTGAAGGCTGAAATTCTCTCTCCTTTGAAAAAAAAAAAAAGGGGGTCTCGCAGACGAAGGTCAGCCGAGTTGGCAAAGTCGACGATTTCAACAATCATGCGTATTGGTCTCCAAATCGTGGCAGAGTTCGAGGCCAACGGAAACCAACCCTCGTCCAAAAGCACCGCATCTCTCCATAATCATGCCAGTGAAGCGTTCCGAAATCTTTCATTTGTGTTTCTGATCAATTCGGCCGGCGAGCAACACCCTCCGAGTCCCGACGTGACTAATCTCGGATGCATCACAACTCCAATCTGCAACCCCCTTCTGACTTGATGAGTGTAATTTCGCTTGATGAGGTTAAAGTGCATCAATGTTGACACAGCAATTTCGACATTGGTAAAACAGTCACTTTAAGTACACGTTTGACACAAATTGCCTACCCCACCCCCCCACCACCCCTTGAGTGTAATATCGCAGCGACGGCTGTATCTTTCTTGTACACAGTAATCAAATTATGCCCGCGCGGTAAATGTTCCCCTGTGACATTTTCTATTATAAAACGCATATAGCCGCTGTCAGACAATGAGTGGCTGATATCCCCTCGGTAGCAAATGGGATCCTAAGTGGCACTGACTGACGTGATGCGTGCGCATTGGCTGTAATTGGGCTTGTATTTTGATTTGGAGGAGATGTAGCTCATGTGGGCTACGTGGCTCTCCAGTCTGAAATCACAATCGCGGCTGACGCAGGGAAAGTTTTTTTCCCCCCTTGGATAGAAGTGCCAATTTTAGTAATGCTGGGCGGTGGGTCAAAAAAACACATTTGGAAAGGGAGGCGGCTCGGTAATCGGAGACCACGTGGCGACAGTCCGGATCAGAGGTGAGTTCGCCTCAGCCAGTCTGACCACTGCGCCGGCTCGCCGCGCGCCTGCGGTAATGTAAAACATCTCGCTGCGGCCTCGGGCGTCTCCTCTCGGCTTACCCTCGGCTTCCGCGCGTGTCTTCGTGCGGGAGGTGGGCGAGTGCGCCGAAACCGAGATGAGGTTTGGGTCGTAACAGGCTTCACGTCGATGCTGATGGCTAAGCGTATCACCTTTGAATCCCCTATCCGAGTTCCAAAGTCGTCTTCTGGTGCAATTGAGTAGCATTTTGGACGCTGAGCAAACTATCCCCCTTCAAGTTGCCTTTTGGGGATAAACGTCTCTTCAATGTTATTTTATCGTTTCATCGGCTGCCTCTCCGCATAGGCCGGCTCAACCCATCGCGCACTCTGATCTAATCCCCGAGAGGAAGAATTCTAGCCTGTTGCCACGGATGCTGGGGTCGCGAGGTCAAGTACAGCTAATTTATTCACTCCGTCAGATTTCCTCTGGCTCGTGGATGGCAGATGGAGGGGTCTGATATGATATCACCCATCTGAATCACCCGAGGGAGGAGAGAGTTAGGGAAAGGAGGGTGGGATGGAGCAATCCGAGGAGATGAGAACGACAGGGGGGAATGCAAAGGGTCGGCCGGATGGCAGCAACGACAACAAAGTCATATTAAAAGATGGTAAAGTGTGTCGTATCGCATGAATGTTTTTCGTAGGCACTTTACTTGATGGGGCTGAACTTCATAGATTCTTATCGGAAATGTGGGTGGGCAGCAACAAATATTAGTGTGCCCTTATCTTGAGACGAGTGGTTCTGGTCCAGTAAGATCTGGGAGATGGTAAGAATAAGCGGCTTAGACTGCGATCGGAGATGGCGGAGGGAGGAGAAAGAGTGCCGGGAGGATGAGAGGAGATGAGGATTCTGAGAAGGGGGCGGTGTGGGGGGCGGGGTTGATTTGCAGACTGGAGGACAAGCAGGAGGCGCTTGGGAAGAGTTTGGAGGGCATCAAAAAAATCGGACCGGAGAGATCTGATGCATTCACTTTTGTGAAGGAGCGCAGGAGTCGGCGGTACTGATGAGATGTTGGTGATCTGAAAATGGAAGGGCACTCGTTTGGGCAAGATGCTAACAATCAAATCTTTTGATTGCAAAGTTTCTGTGTTACATCACGCTGACGGAAGAATGAGGAGATGGTTGTCATCTCACGCTTGGCTTTCGTCTCTTCACAGTTTGACCAGAGGAAGATGAGGAACCGACTGTAAGCACTTTCAACACCCATCGGGCTTTGGCAACCCTCCCGACGCCACAGAGAGCCAACCGCCCCGCTCGACTCACAGCTCTTGTCTGAGACGCTTTTCCAAGGAGGCCGTGTTGAGCTTCTCCGAGGAGGAAGCAGTTCTTCCAAAATTCTTCTCGACCGCCCTCATCCGTTTCGACATGGACCTCCACAGAGCAGCGTTCAAGATGGAGAGTTCCTCCTACCTGCCGAATCCCCTGGCCTCGCCCGCCCTCATGGTCCTGGCCTCCACCGCCGAAGCTTCTCGCGACGCTTCCATCCCCTGCCAGCAACCGCGCCCGTTTGGTGTGCCCGTTTCCGTGGAGAAAGACGTTCACTTGCCGTTTAACAATGGTTCTTACACCTTTGCGTCAATGTACCATCGCCAAGGCGGCGTCCCGCCGGGTTTCCCCAACAGGGACTTTCCTCCATCCCTCCTCCACCTCCATCATCAGTTTGCTCCGCCCAATCTGGACTGCTCGCCAATCAGCATGCTGAATCACAGCGGCGTCGGGGCCTTCAGGCCCTTTGCTTCTCCTCCCGAGGATCGAGACGGCGCGCCGGGCGGCTATCAGTCCGCTTTCACGCCGGCCAAGCGCCTGAAAGGCTGCCTGGACGCGGAAGCTTCCCCCCACCTCCGTTATTCTGATGCCGAGGGGAAAGAATATGACTTTGGCGGTGCCCAGATCCCACCCGGGAGCTCGCCCAGCAGCGCCTTGAAGGCCGTCGAGGACAGCGGAAAGAAGATCTTTGCTGTGTCCGGCCTTCTTTCAGACCGCGAGACTTCATCCAGCCCCGAGGACCGCCTTGAGCGCTGTAAGTGCACCTTTCTGTCTTTTCCGTATCTCTTTGGAAAACGCACTCACTTGACAAAGCACAAAAGAGTTGAGGGGGGGCAATGTGTTTGTGATCTCGAAGAAAATACACCAAAAGGGAAGACACCTCATGTAGGCCAATCCGATTCAATCCCTTTAATTAAAAAAGACCGACTTCCAAAATAATTTTCCACAATTGCATCACACACACCGATAAACAATCCCATCTCTGTTTTCTTGTCATCATCTCTCTTGGCTCAACCGATCCTTGATTCACAAGCCCACAAGCTCCGCTAGACACATTAGCATCTACCAGGGGAGGGGATGCCATTTGGCCCTCCTGCGCTCTGCAAACTGGATGTGTGTGTGCGTGCCCAAGTCGGTTGGCCGTGCTCCTTCCCATCAGTATTCATCATAGTTCCCCCCTGGCGGCCAAAAGATTTGCCCACATTCCCGAAACCTTACCAGAGTATCTGTGGATGCAAGTGTATGTGCGCGCGCATGTTGGTATGCGTGTGATGGGAAGAGAAGGCAGCGTTCCAGTCGCAAACACACATTTGGCAATGCGCTTTGACATCCAGCGCGCATCAAAAACTGCATCGGATCGCCGAGGCAAATTAGCTCCGAGTTGCTGTCGTGATTTTGAAGCGTTTAAAATGGCAATTTCTATGCGTCTGCTTGGTTGTTTCTGTTCACCTTTCCACCGTTGTCTTTTTTGATCTTCGTCTTTGTCTTATTTCCAGCTGTCTTTTCGAAGGTTTAAGACGATGTGTGTTTTTGGGGGATGAATCTGTGAGCTAATAAATGAGAGACAAAAGCGACGACCTGAGACTGATCCGATAAAAACAAACCATGAGACGGAAACTGGGGGGTTGAAGAAAGTGAGAAAAATCTCGCAATGACTTCCCAGGTGAAATTGCACGGGAGAAAAAAAAAAAAAAATATATAT